CAAGCCTTTAAGACCCCAGATGATATATCTTTTGATAGCCGGGCACCATCAGCTTTCTTCACCACATTTGCTTATGTACCTGCTTTGTCTTCAGCAATTGTGTCGGGAAGGTGAGCATCATGGAATGACAATTTAATAGAACAAAGTGTTTTTGCAGTGAGGGTGTACTTGAGTGGAGGCCCAATGTCTATCTGCTACCTTAATACTAAACCTATAAATATAAGCACATAGATCTATTTCCCATCATCATATATAAGTATGTTTACATATGTACATGCCTGTATTTTGACCTCTATAAGTACCCTTTGCCTCCCAGTTCTTTCCCCTATTTCCTTTTACTTTCCTCTTGTCTCACTATCATGCTCAGCCTTCATTTGGGTTTCAGTAATTCCTCTTGGTTACATTGCCTTTGATCAATCCCTACCAAGCCTCTTATACCTTCCTTGTCACTGATTTTGGATCACTTGTTGTTCCCTTGTCCCTAGGTTGGTTAACACCACCTCCTTTCCCCCACTTCCCCCTCCCATGTGCCCCCAGAACCATCAGTCCCATTGTTTTTCCCTCCAGATTGTTTATCCTATATTACACATTTCACCCTGTTGGCCTTCTACTGACAGGTCTCCCGATACACCAACCCATTACCTATACATCATCTTTATATGATCCATCCAAATAGCAAACAACCTCAGCTCTAACTTAATTTCAGCCACGAATTAAAAGAAAAAACAACACCCACCCTCGCCAAAAAAAATACAGTATGTGGATGTTCTCTGTAACTGCAAGCTACACACTATCTTGTGAAGCCGAGCTATGGGTAGTCCCAAGGGAAAGAAAGCAGGAGACTGCAGGGTGCTTTAGTGCAACTCATCCAAACTCAAAGTTCATGCTCAGGGGAGGACGACTGACTTTAATTTGCTGGTCAGACTCCTGGCCAATTATGTTTTACGAGCAATCATGACTTCCCGCTTTTTGTTGCCGCATAAATTGCCTCTGTGTACAACCAGAACGAAGTGTGTTTACAAAGCTGGCTGCTGGAGACCTAAGGGTTTCCGGGAAGAATTCTTTCGGTGGAGAAACAGTGCTGGAGCAATCTGGAGGGAGGGGTACACAATGCTGGGGCTCACTGCCAGGAAAAGTCACAAGTACTCTGGAACTTTACGAAAACTCTATTTGGCCCTGAAGCTGAAAAAGAAAACAACGAGGGCTGAAAAAATAAAGCCCTTGTGAGACTCACATTGCTCAGAGACGAAAGCACTGTCCTTGGCTCCACGCATTGCTCTTTGGAAACAAAGCCCACATTACAGCACACCGCCTGAAGGTCCAAACCCATTAGTCGTGCAGATTACTGCCCATGAACGCAAACCCCTCTCCTGCCTCCTCGGCTGAGAGCATGGCACTTTCACCAGCAGGGCGGGTTTTCGAGGGCAGTGCCACGGGCTTGCAGTCCGAGGGTGGGCGCCATTGTGGGGGTAGCGACAGTGCTTCATGGAAACCCTCAGGTCAAATCAGTTGACACTGTGGCCAACTTGCCCTCTTTTGTGCTGCAGGATCAGAAGAGGTCGGCACCACTCCCAGCTTGAACTGTGACCGATTCTTCGAGTCCAAATGTCAAAGCTCCACAAATCCCCATCTCTTGAAGAGGTGCCGCTTAGGCCCCTGAGAGCAGCGCCTTCAGCCGAATTAGCACTTGATGAGCAGAAGTCAACATCCACACAGCCCACAACAACCCTATTCTGAACGGAGGCCGGGCTGCGCAGCACGGTTTGGGGTTGTGTTTGGGGACCTGTCCCAACCCTCACAAGGTTCCCTCTGGGGCTCTCCGCCCCAGGCTGAGCTCCAGGGTCTGACCAGGGCCTTCCGCGTTCTGTGCACAACACCAGGGAATCAGCTTTCCCCGTGGCTCTCTCAGAACAGGTATGAATGGGAAGACCCAGAAGGCAGAGACGTTTTGCTTTGGCTTTTGATTTGAAGAGTAAAGAAAGTTAAATGGGACATCCTCTGAATAAATAAGTAAAAATAAATAACAGCGATTACAGCGACTGCTGTCCAGTCAGAGAGAGCACACTATTTGGAGAAATGCTCTGAAGAAGGAAATCTAAGGGGAAGCAAGAGCCTATTCAACCATCGGAAGAGTTCTGACCAGCAGACTTTTAGATTGAGGGTGTTGTGGGTGGCAGGAGATATAGTAGACATTTTTTGGGCCCACATCCCAAGACCTTCACTCATCTATTGTTTTGTCCTCAGTCTTTTGAGACCTGAGCAGAAAGGACACAGACATAATGCCCTTTAAACACTCTAATTTCAGAATTCAGATACTAAGAAACAGCCACACGTGGCCCCAGCAACAGTTTGACAATGAGGACGAAAAAAAGGAAAGTCTCGTGCTATCAGCGATACCCACCTTCCGATCGCAAAAACCGTCAAGCCCACGGTGATTTTCCGCTTGGCATAATACTCGTCTAAGACAGCTCTGTTGAAAGTGCCTTCCCACACCACGGGGGACTTCCATTCGGTCATTGTCACGACTTCCGGGCGCTTGCTGAGGACAAAGCAGAGTCCAGGGATCAGGGCAGCTTGACGAGGGTGAGGCACCGCCGGGGTCAACCCTGACCTGCTACGGCTGTCTTTGGGCCCTAAGCTTTGAGTGACCTCAACAGTGAGCTGCGTGCAGAGCGGCGTCTTCTGGGTGAGGGACAGGTACTCTGGCCCCGTTATCTCTGAGGGTCATCTTGGGGATCTCTTAGAGACAGCCTTACCCTCTGTCCTCCTGCTGCTGCCTGCTGTGTTCTCCTTTCTTCTCTCCAGCCCAGGGGTCCTCAAACTTTTTAAACAGGGGGCCAGTTCACTGCCCCTCAGACTCGTTGGAGGGCCAGACTATAGTTTTAAAAAAACCCAACTCTGAACACATTCCTATGCACACTGCACAATTTTGAAGTAAAAAAACAAATGGGGCCAAAACACCTGGCGGGCCAGATAAATGTCCTCGGGGGGCCGCATGTGGCCCGCGGGCCATAGTTTGAGGATGCCTGCTCCAGCCCCTCCCTAAGCTACCAGTAGCCTCCTTGGGCATCCTTGATCCCAGTGGGTAGCACCTGAAACTGAAAAGCCATGAGAACGATTGGATGTGAAGAAGAAAGGGCTGTTTTGATTTGTCTTTTGCTAGAAAAGACTTCTGAGTAAGCACCTGGTTCCAGGGCAGGAAGAGCTTCCACCTAGGGGGCCCGGGCATGATCGGAGGGCCCCAAGAGACAAAGGCCCCGCATGACCGAGACCGGAACACAGGCCTCTGGGCTCCAGGGAAGACTCCTCCCCAGCTCTCAAGGCCTGTCACTAGCAACCCACAGGGGGAGGGGAGGGCATGAGCTCTGCGTTCAGAGAGCTTGGAAGAGACTTGGCAAAGGCAACGCAAACACAGGAAGCCCCCTAACAACAATGACAAAAGCACACAACCATAAAGATACATGCGCAGGGATGGAGGCCAGCATGTGGAGGAGGAAGCTCCCTGCCGGAGGGAGGGCCAGACAACTCAGCCCTCACCGGCCACCCTCAGGAAGTGGTCACATCTCCCTGCTGCGACGCTGAGGCCCAACCAGTCCCTCCGACTGAGACGCCAGCACAGGCCAGGCACCCTCCTTAGCGTCTGCTTGCGCTTCATCAGCCAGTCTCTTTCATCCGGCACAATCAGGGCAAGTGACTCAGGCAGAGTCCTGCCACCGGAGCCACAGGGGCCTGGTGAGACTGCAGGGGTTGTGAGGTGGGCAGCCAGACTGGGTCCTGGAGAATAGGATGTCACCGTCCGCACTACCTTCAGGCAGAACCCAGGCTGCAAGGCTGTATGTTCGCAACATTGCCACCCCTCCATCTGCTGAGTTTTTCCACAAGGGGCTGGGCAGGGCTGGGCCATCTCCAGCCTTGGCCCAGCTTCAGCAGTGGAAAAGGGAGACTCAGCAGGGTCTCTCCCAAGGCAGCTCTTTGTCTGTCCCCAGGCACTCACTCTGGACCTGCCTCTGCCCTCTATCGCATCCCGTGCCCTGCTTCTGGCCCGTGTTCTGGATGGGGGCCCGCTCAGCACCTGTCCACCAAAGCTCACTGCCATTGAGTCAGTATGCATTGGGCCGCTAACCACGAGTCAGCAGTTTTTAACCACCAGCTGCTTCTCGGGAGAAAGACAAGGCTTTGTATTCCTGTAAAGAGTTACAGCCTCAAACCCACAGTCTCAAACGCAGTGTCCTAGAGGGTCACTATGAGTCAGCAGCTGTGGTGGAGCTTACATTCTGAGCACCCTGTTTGCAGAAGGCTATGGATGGATGTCAGTGAAAACCCCAACTCCACCCCCAACTGGATTGTAAGCATCCATTGAGTTGTTTCTGACTATTAACTAGGGACATAGCAGTCTTGCTCTCAGGCAAGATGAATTACTCCATTGCCTTAGTGACTTACCTAGGTGTGTGTCCTTGATAGAAATCACCACACTGGGGTCACAGAGCCTGAAGTGGGACCCTGACTACATTCTTTGGAAGACCCTGGGCCAATCTTGTAAGATCCTCTGTCTAACGTAACATACATGTCCCTACCATGGTCCCAGCCCTGCTTCTATAGTCCCACCTGCAACTATGATGTATTGATTTTTTGCCAATCACGCTTTGAGGCAGATTCCTTTGCCCTCCCATGTCCCTTTCAAAGCTCTGTACCCCAGCAAGCCATTGGGGCTCCGTTGTGGCCTTGTGCTAATAGTTTCCCTCATGTGGACGATGTGTCTTTGTCTCATCTCTGTCCTGCTTACGCCTTAACGCTTTCCTGAAGTTACATTTGAGATTGGGGGTCTAAAGCATGCCCCAGATATACCTGCAGCACAGAGAACAAAGGAGCACTCAGTTTCCTTTGATGGCAAAAGATGCTCCCTGGGGACTCTGGCCTCAGCCCGGGCAGGAACCTTCACCTGCACTCTCTCATGTAGTCCTGGCCAGGCCCTGCTCCATCAAGCTCCATTCCACAGATTGGAAAAGCCGAAGCTCTTTAATTTGACCCAGGGCACACGGCTGGTTTCTAAGGATGGACACTAAGAAATGCTGAGCCCTTCTGGCTCACTCCTCCGAGGTGGGAGCGATTTTGACTTCCATTCAACTGATGAGAAAACCACCATGCAGAGAGGTGCTGTAACCTGCCCAGGGTCTCACAGCCAGTCCAGGGGAAAGCTGGGATTTGAACCCCGACTTCTGGAATGACTGCCCTGAGCCACACTCCATTGCTTCTTGGATGGGTACTTACAAGAATGAACTCACGCAGATGAGGCGTTCGTCAACCCACATTTGTCCTACTCTAAAGGTAACGCGATTTCCCCTAAGCTACCTCAGCATTTCCATCAGTGCCAGTAATAAGTGATGGGTTTTGTTGAGAAGCGTCTGTGGTGCTTTGAGTCACTGAGACCTTTCGCTTTGTTGGATGACAAACTTTCAAACCAAATAGCCACACACACACACACACACACACACACACACACACACGCACACACAGCCAGCGAATGCTTCCATGAACTGCCGTCTCTGAAATTAAATGGAAACTCTTCCTTTTACTGTCATCTGTCACCCTCGCATTCTCTGTCATCTACTCCTGCCTTTGAGCAGGTCGAGGATCTTTAACAGTTCTGGTCCAGCTCCTGGCTGAGTCTGCCAGCTGTGTTTGAACAAGACATCTAGAACAAGACATTTACATGAGAGAGAGAGAGAGAGAGAGAGAGAGGAGAAGAAAAGGGAAGAGATGAAAAAAGAAAAGGAAGGAAGGAGCAGGTACATTTATTGAACATGTACGGAGCCCTGGAGGCTCAGCAGTTGCATAGTGGGCAGCTAACAGCGAGATCAGCAGTTCAAAACCATGGGTCACTCTGCAGAATTAAGGCTAGGCTTTCTAGCCACATAAAGAGTTACAGCCTCAAACTCATGGGAGCAGTTCTACCCTGTCCTACAGGGTCACGATGAGTCAGCACCCACTTGATGGCAGTACGTGTGTGTGCCCGCGTGCTGCGCACCAGGGAAGGAACCTTGCCAGCCTGGCGGTTAAGTTCTCAGCTGTTAACAAAAGGGTTGGTGGCTCAAGGGTGCCCACTGTTCCCCAGGAGGAAGTGGTGGCCATCTGCTTCCATTATGACTATCCCCTTGGAAGCCCTATGGCAGGCCGTCCTCAAACTATGGCCCGCGGGCCACATGCCGCCCACCGAGGACATTTATCTGGCTCGACGGGTGTTTTTGCTGCTGCTGCTGCCTGTCCTGCTTAGCAGACGACTCGTCCAGTGTGCATAGGAATTTGTTCAGTTTTTTTTTAACTATAGCCCGGCCCTCCAACGGATCTGAGGGACAGTGAATTGGCCCCCTGTTTAAAAAGTTTGAGGAACCCTGCCCTGTAGGGTAGGTCCGCCCGGTCCTACTTGTTGGAATCAGCTCAGAAGCAACACATTTAGCTTTTGTCCAAGGGGTTGGGTCTTCACTTTTCTCCTCTCGTTGGACCCACACAGCCACGCTGTGAAGTGAAGCGCTGTCATCGTCCCCACTCTCTAAACAGAGAAACGAGGGCGGAGCAGGAGCCAGGTCTTTCCTTGTCTGACTTAGGGGAGTGGCCAGGCCGGGCCTTCCTCCTCTGAGTGTGCACAGCGGACATCTCTGCTCGGTGTCAGGACAAAGGCCAAGTGCCGCGATGGGAACAACGAGACGCCACCCTGTCCCTTGAGATGCTCCCGACCTGACAGGTGGTTGGTCTCCTGTGTCTTTGTCAGCTGTAAGACCACAGAGTTCACACCTTTAGGAAGAGGGAATCCGAAACCTAGCGGCCAGTTGGGACCCTTGGGTGGGAAGGACTCCTGTTAGCGAGGAGCAAAAGTGACAAGCGCAATTAAAAATTAATTCCTAATGAAAAATGGAAATGTTCTATCTCCCAGCTGTTAATTGTTAAATTCCCCCGACATTTCCAACACACAGTGGCCCCGAATAAGAAGCCAGGCAACAGCCTGAAAATGCAGGCATGGAGGGAGAGGAGATGGGGACCATGCAGATGGCGACGACAGCGGTGGCCATAAACAGAGGGCCAGTCTTGCACGGGTGGTCGGAGCTAGCCTTCACCGATGACACAACACAAGGTCATCAAGTTGTAGCTGTTAGGTCGCCAAGAGAACCAGACCCACCGTCATCGAGCCAATTCCAACTCAGAATGATTCTGTCAGACAACACAGAACTGCCCCAGTGGGATTCTGAGGCCGGAACTCTTTAGAGCAGCGGTTCTCAACCTGTGGGTCGCGACCCCTTTGGGGGGGGGTGTTGAACAACCCTTTCACAGGGGTCACCCAATTCATAACAGTAGCAAAATTACAGTGCTGAAGTAGCAACGAAAATAATTTTAAGGTTGGGGGTCACCACCACATGAGGAGCTGTATGAAAGGGTCACGGCGTTAGGAAGGTTGAGAACCACTGCTTTAGAGGAACAGAAAGCCTCATCTATTTCCTAAAGAGCTGCTGCTGGTTTCGAACTGCTGATGGAGGGGTCCGCAGCCCCACACATACCCTCTATACCACCCGGGCTCCTAAGGCCACCAAGAGGGGTCTGTAAAAGGAGGGAAGTATGGGAAAGCCCCAGAGATGCCCAAATGCCTTCAGGACACCTTGGGGTGAAATGAATTCCTTTATGTGAGTGGCCTTTTGCCTTGATTCTTGGGAAAAACAGCTTGAGAAATGCGCCCCTACACCCTAAGAAGTTCCTTTTATGCACCTTGCAATGGATGATGAGGATGGGAGGAGTTGTGCCCTGTTAGGAGAATGACATGTCTCTCAATATTAGGAGATTGAGAGAGGATTGGACTCCGGGTTAGAGTCGTGCCTGGAATGGAAAAGAAGTTTATGAATTTAAGCAGAAAACCCTGCCGAAGTTTTAGTTTGTTTTAGTGACAGAGAGACACAGGGAGAGAAGCAAGAGAGAAAGAGAAGCAGCAGCGAAGCGGCAGAGAACCGTTTAAAAGAGCCGGAATGTTTGCGCCTAGGGCTCAAACCCCGAAGACCGCAGCGAGCGTAGGGTAGGGGCCCAGTAGCAGAGAAGCCTAGCCTGTGGGGCTGAGAGGAGCAGAGGACGGCTCGGCACGGAGGGAGAGAGACTTGGCCGGCCTGCCTGCTTCCTGATTTTGATCCTGACTTAGTGTCTGCTGATTCTGACCCCGTTATATCCTGAGTAAGCCACTTACCTCTAAGGAGGGCCTGCTCTGAATTCTGCATGGCCATTGCAGGAGATGGACCACACCCGGAGGGGCAGTAGAGAATCCCAAGGGAAGCATGCATGGCTGGTGTCAGAACGGGTAGAGAGGTTGGCAAGTTGAAAGCATGTCTGACCTCGGCCTCATAGGGATCACCTTTGGGCTGACTTTAACTGATAGGATCTTCTTTGAAGTTAGGTAAGTTCTAATTCTACGATGACCACTTCCGCTCTTTCATAGCACCCAACTGTGTTGCATCAGCCCATGCAGCTTCATTACCGGGACCCATAGACTGTATGCACCGAAGGGTGCATGCACGCACACATGTACACACAGAGGGCCTCCCTAACCAAACCTGTACCTAACTAGATTATGTTGTAGTTTTAAATGCTAGGTATTTATTTACGGTTGCATTGTGGTACCCCGGGGGGAGGAGAGGAGGTGTTAAAATATTCTACGTCATGCAATAGGGGCAAGAGCCAGGACCCAGAGGAGAAAGGTTGGTGGCAGCATGAATAAGGGTAGTGGTGGCAGAAAGGAAACGGGGAGGATGTGAGAAATGATTCGGTGGAAGAATGGCTAGAACCTGTTGATAAATTGGGTTGGATGACTCTGAACTCCCTGGAGCCTGGCTTGGGCCATTTACTGAGAGGAGAAATGAGGTGGTCAGAACACGGTGGGGTTGAGTCCATTTGGGTCACATGAGACATTCAGATGTCAAGCAGGCAGTTAGAGCAAGGCCTCCAAAGAAAGGCTGTGGTGAAGCTATACATGTAGGAGTCATTATCACACACGTGGTACCTCAGCCACGGAAATGGGTGGGAGTGCACCCTGCCAGATGAACTCCATGACAAACGACAAGGATGTGGGACTTAACCCCTAGACACGCTGTTATCTGTTGACTGGGAAGAGGGAGATGACCCTAGAAAGGTGACTTGCTAGGGGAGGAACAAAAGGAAAATTAAGAGAATGCAGTTGCACGTGTGACGAGAGAGATATACAGCGTGACACCACTTCTATAAAATGTAGCTACTTGTTCATTCATTTATGTAGCAAATACACTATGGTGCTCTGAGAAGGCTTAAACCTGGTGTCTCTTCAAACCAATGTTCTTTAAACATCTGTTCGCCATTTGTTAGCAGGAGAAACTGAGTCCTGTATATCACAGAGGGAAAAGAGCGATGCCGGCTGGTCAGGAGCTGTCTCTCGCCTTCACTGCCAGGGATTCAGCCCTGGTCCCTGTCTCCCAGGTCCTGCTCAGCAAAGGATAGTCCCCATCAAACTGACCACCCCCACCCCCAACCCCTCACCTGCCACCTTAGAAGAGAACTTGCTCACCGTCTCTGGCTTACCTAGCCTGTTCCTTGGGGTGTCTCACACCTCCATCTAAGGGGCTCAGCAAACGAAAAGTGTTCCCATCTCTACACTACTAGTAACGGTTTCGTATCTCACAGATGCTGCGCCTGCTGTCCGGTTAATTGCATGATGCTGTACATGTGGCAGATCAAAACTGCCATCCTGACCCCCACCCCGACAATAAGAACTTTTGCCAAAACCTGTTCAGTCTTTCCAGACCCTAATATCGCCGATAACGGAATAGACCCTAGTTCCTCTATAAAATGTATCTACTTGTTCATTCATTTATGTAGCAAATACACTATGGTGCTCTGAGAAGGCTTAAACCTGGTTCCGACTCAGTTTCCCTTCGGACTTGTCTGCCTCCACCAGCACGATCAGTGCTTGTGTCAGACAGTTCATGTCAGAGCTTTTCTAGCCCACAGATCCCAATGTTACCTGGACCCTGGTGCCTTCCCAACTCATGTGCCCACCACATACCTTCCACAAAGCTCGGGGGACCCTGCGACTTTCCACTGAGATGCCCCACAGCACCTCCAGGTAAGCACATTGCACTGGAGCTCACCCCCTCTCCCACTTGTAGACCTGTGTCCCTTCCGCAATTCCCTTTCCTGATCAATGGCATAACCAACCATCAGTCTCTCAGGGATTACAGCCCTCCTGGACAGCACCTGCCGACTCACTCCCTGAACCAGACCCTTATCTCACCTGTGTTAGCAAGGACTGGTTTCATGTCAGCTGGCCCTATGAGATCTTGAGCTCCTTGTGCATAACCATATTGATCGATTTGTTCTATCTTTTGTGCCTAATCCAATGCCTAGCATGGCATTGTTTTACATCAGAACCTAACATACGCATCCCTACAGATATGTACACATCAAAAACCAATTTTCAGCAAACAACGCTTTGATTCTTCATGTGATACTCTCTGATTTTCTGTGTGCTTTTTAAAAAAAAGTTGGCTTTAGCACATTAAGCTCACTTTTGAACAAACGTGTGGGTAGCGATCAGCAGTTTGGAAAACACTGGGCCGACGCACAATAGGACTTTGATAAACAGCTGTTGCAAGCATGTCTAACTAACAAATGCATAGCCCGAGTGATTTTTATCACCATTCCCATTTTATAGAACTTTCCTGGCTTTGACCCCAGTGCTTGTGGCTTTCCACAATGCCCTGTGACCTCTGCGTCTTCCCTGCCCCAATATTTTGTGATTCATCTGCTGCCATTGGCTCATCAGGGTCCGAATCATTACGCTGCTCAAGCATTTGGGTCAAAAGAACCAGACTCTCAGATTCTCATCCAAACGAAATGTCTGATATGTACCGAAGCTCTTCCAAATGAAGACGGTTCTCCATGGCCCTAGCATCTTCCCAGCCCCCACTGGCTGAGCTACGGAGGTAGTGCTCATGGGACAACATCTTGTTTCTTACTATGGTTTAAACCAGTCTGACAGCCGAAGCTCTTCATCTTCCTCTCCCCTTCCACTGTCTACGTCTTCCTCGTCTCCTTGGTAACTGTGGGTCCTGTGGAGGAAGAGAAAGCAGGCACAGTAAGGCAGGGAGCATGACCTGGGATGTCCAAACAGTCAGGGGCGGCTAGTTAAAATGTGCTCACGGACAGAACCTGTACGAGCAAAGTGGCTGGAGAAAGAAACTTTTCGTTTTGACGAAAAGCTCCCGTACTCACCTTTCTCGTTACCCTTCCCAGTCCCAAGGACCTCAGTCCTTCTAGGACAGCGGTTCTCAACCTCCCTAACGCTGCCACCCTTTCATACAGTGACCCCCAACCATAGCATTATTTTTGTTACTACTTCATCACTGTCATTTTGCTACTGTGATGAATCGGGTGACCCCTGTGAAAGGGTCGCTGGACCCACAAAGGGGTTGTGACCCACAGGTTGAGAACCGCTGTTCTAGAGGGCGAGGGAAGGTTGATAAAATCATACTCATGAGAACCTTTTTGTTTGTTTTGTTTAACTGTCTTTCTTGCCGTGTGAACTTTAGCCTAAACTTCAACCCCATGTTACCTGGACCAGGGTCCGGAAAGTTCAAATGTGCTAGTCCCAACCACAACTAAGATTCCTCCTGTGATTTCAATGAGCGAGAAAGACAAGTGACTGAGAAAGTGAGGCCCTGGCACCATTCTACTTGGACTCGTTAGAAACGTTAGGTGGGGGGACAAGCGGAAGCTACCCAATTGCCTTACCCATTGCTAAACCAGCTGGGAAACCACCAGCCTGGATGAGAGCTGCCATCCCCAACGTCAATGTTCCTAAGAAATAAAAACAAGGTAACAGGAATTTTCAGAAAAGGGCACATTCCCAAAATGGGGTGGGGATGTTCAAACTTTTCATGGCCCAAAACCCAAACCCCAAACCACTATCTTAGAGTCAAAGCCGACTCAGAGTGACCCTCTAGGAGAGGGTGGAGTGAGTTTCGGAGACTGTAACTTTTCACAAGGGTGGAAAGCCCCATCTTTCTCCCGAGGAGAGGCTGGTGGTTTCGAACTGCTGACCTTGTGGTTAGCAGCCCCATGCACAACCACTGCACCACCAGGGCTCCTTTTTTTTAATAGCAGAAGACTTCTGTTAAGAAAGAAAGAAAGAAAGCCCATGAGATACAGAAGCAAAGCTGTTCTCACTGAAGTGAGAGAAGAAACCTGAAGCTCCCAATGATCCCCATATGGGCAGAGCAGTTCTCCGCTCCTCCTGGGAACCCTGCCGGGAGGAACAGAAGAACGAAGGGGATGGAAACATTGAGGGCATCGCCCTGAGTCCCGGATCTCTCATTTGCTAGTTGCAACTGTGGTGGGTCATTGTCCCTCTCCGAGTCTCAATTTTCTCAATTGGAATGTGTAGTTAATAACAATAAATGTAACATGTAGATAGCATTATACGCTCTTATAACACAAGCATTATAAGCTGGAAATGACTACAAAAACTTGTCGTCTTAATAATCAACCAATGTATATATTTTTTTAAATGGTTGGTTTTGCTGACCTAGGAAAATTCACATTGCTCAAAGTTCAGCAGAGAGTAACTCTGAAAGCCCGAGGGTCACTGAACCAGAAGCTCGGGAAGGTCAGAAGTCACCCTGGCCATCCACGTGTGGACCTTTCCACCCTCTCCCGGCGAGAACCACTCCAAGCCAGCGCCCTTCCAGAGAAGAGTAACAAATGAAGGAAGATGGGGAATGTAGCTCTTCCATTGGCCAAATCCGGTGTTGTGATGATTTAGGAACAGATACCATAACTTAAAGATACTTATTATCAAGTCCCTCTGCTTCCAAGATATGTTTGAGATGGCTTATGATAAAAAGCAATGCGTGATTGTAATAAACAGGGAAACCCTACAAGAATAAAAAGTGGATACTGTCCTATAGCCGGGGTCATCCCAGCCACTTTATGAGAATCAAGCTTCGACCTTCATTTCATTTCACAGCTGGTAGATTTGAGCAAGTTGCCAAGGCCCCACGGCATGTGAACATAAAAGGCAGAGTCAAACACCAGGATGAATGCTATCAGAAACGGAAGCTGGGGGAAATAAAGGCAGGTAAGGACAACGCTTTGCTCTGAGCTTTCTGAAAATGAAGCCCCAAATCAGAAAGTCTTGTCTTCACCGTCTAAAACAATAAAACATTTTTGTTGTTAAAAATTTACAAAGGACACACACTAGTTCATCAAGAGACTCCAAACTGTTTTCCTGATCTTCACTAAAGAGGAAAAAGAAATGGCTCGTAGTGACCCTATAGGGTTGGGTAGCACTGCCCCTGTGAACGCCCGAGATCGTAACTCTTTACGAAGTAGGAAACCTCATCTTTCTCCCTTGGAGCAGCTGGTGGCTTCCAACTGCTGACCTCCTGGTTAGTAGCCCAAGGTATAGTGATGATGCCACCAGGGCTCCTCCTGATCCTTAATGCCAGAGAAATGCCTTGTGATCACTTTGAAGATACCCTGAATGTGAAACCAGGACCCCAAACACGTGATGGTAGAACAAAGGCAAGTCTACAAGGACGGGGAGCACTGGGGGCTGGATCTTGGGGAATCCTATCCACCTATCCGTGTTTCTCCGTGTTTGACCCGGGCTTGATCACTGGCAGTTGTATGAAGAATGGACTGCAGAGGGACGAGAAGGCAAACAGCACTACACTCACACGTATACATAGGGATAGCAGGGGAAAGTTCCACATAGGTACTTATATGTGCTGCAAATGCATCTACATATATGGTACAGTACACAGGGTGCACAACTATGCAAATGTCTTAACCAGAAACCTTGATGGAGTGAGTCACTGGGCTTCCGGAAGCCGGACTGAATCGGGGAACATCAAGGTCAGTTGGTGCAACAGCTCACAAAGACATTATTCTACATCTTACGCTGGTGGGTAGCAATGACTGGGGACATAAAAGCTAGTGAGTGGCCATCTAGGATGCATCGATTGGTCTTTCCATGCCTGGAGCAGAGGAGAGTGGAGACCATCAAAGGCACAAGGAGAAAATAAGTCCAAAGCACTAATGGGCCCCGGGAACCACAGCCTCCACTGGCCAGAGGAATTCGAAGGTGCCAAGACACCACTACTGAGGGTTCTGAATGGGACAAAAAGGTCAAGGCCAGACTAGGGAAAACATGGAGAACAAAATTCAAAATTATAAAAAGGACCAGCCTCATTGTTCTGAGACTGAAAGGACCCTAGGACTGTAGCCCTGATAGATGCTTCCCATGTGGAACCTAACACTCCCATCAACCCCACCACCCTGCCCCAGGCCCCAACTTTCAACCCAAAACACAGGCCTGTACCTTGATTAAAAAAATACAAACCACCACTTGTGAGAATGTACTGTCAGACCAATGAACCACCCAAGACCAAAAGGGCAACATAAATAAAGCTCAGAGGCAGGAAGGGGCCGGGAAAAATGAGTGGCAATAAGGGAGTCAGGGAGGCAGTGGGACAAGGGCTGTTACATTGAGGGGATGGCAGTGAGTGCCATGAAACGATCCG